ACTATTAAAATAGTTACGTGTATTTTGTTTTTTCTTTGGGTTTGTGTGTTTGCTAATTGTGTGTATTTTGTTGTTGTGAAATGACAATTTACTTAGTAGAATTGACAATTTTGCTGGTTGGGGCCTGTTTGACAATTATTACAGTTGATTTTACCAAGTTTTTTTTTGTGTGTAGGTATTTGTATTCTCAAATTGAGGATGTACTGATTTTGTGGACACATTTTGAAAAAAATCGAATATTTTCACCTTGTGGTTTTCTCTAAAAAGACTTGGACCTTGGAATTGTATGTGTATTTTACTAGTTTACAGCCAAAATGCTCCCCAGCAATTGAAGGCCAATTCTGTTAGTGTTGGACCCCAGATCACGAAAATTCCACTAACTTATTTTTCGATGGCACAGTTTTCTTTTAAATTTTTTTTTAAGTTCATAATGTAAAATTTTTTGCACATATCCACACAATTTTGCTAGTCTTCGTTTTATTTTAAGATCAAAGGATTAGAGCTAAGCTTTGCTATACAGATCAATATGATTACACACAAAAAAATTTGCTTGGTAAAATTGACCAACAAAGATAGTTACAATTGACAATTTTGCTGGTTGGGGCCTGTTTGACAATTATTACAGTTGATTTTGCCAAGTTTTTTTTTTGTATGTAGGTATTTGTATTCTCAAATTGAGGATGTTCTGATTTTGTGGACACATTTTAAAAAAAATCTAATATTTTCACCTTGTGGTTTTCTCTAAAAAGACTTGGACCTTGGAATTGTATGTGTATTTTACTAGTTTACAGCCAAAATGCTCCCCAGCAATTGAAGGCCAATTCTGTTAGTGTTGGACCCCAGATCACGAAAATTCCACTAACTTATTTTTCGATGGCACAGTTTTCTTTTAAATTTTTTTTTAAGTTCATAATGTAAAATTTTTTGCACATATCCACACAATTTTGCTAGTCTTCGTTTTATTTTAAGATCAAAGGATTAGAGCTAAGCTTTGCTATACAGATCAATATGATTACACACAAAAAAATTTGCTTGGTAAAATTGACCAACAAAGATAGTTACAATTGACAATTTTGCTGGTTGGGGCCTGTTTGACAATTATTACAGTTGATTTTGCCAAGTTTTTTTTTTGTATGTAGGTATTTGTATTCTCAAATTGAGGATGTACTGATTTTGTGGACACATTTTGAAAAAAATCTAATATTTTCACCTTGTGGTTTTCTCTAAAAAGACTTGGACCTTGGAATTGTATGTGTATTTTACTAGTTTACAGCCAAAATGCTCCCCAGCAATTGAAGGCCAATTCTGTTAGTGTTGGACCCCAGATCACGAAAATTCCACTAACTTATTTTTCGATGGCACAGTTTTCTTATGTATTTTTATTTTATTTTATTTTTATGTATTTTGTTTTTTCTTTTGGTGTGTCTTTGCTAATTGTGTGTATTTTGTTGTTGTGGAATAACTATTTACTTAGTAGAATTGACAATTTTGCTGGCTGAGGCCTGTTTGACAATTATTACAGTTGATTTTACCAAGTTTTTTTTGTGTGTAGATAAAGATGCGTTTTTTGGTCGACTGTAAGACGGCTGTATATATCGTACAAACTCAAAATAAATCCGTTGATTTATTTGGTGTGAGTGAGTTAAAGTGAGAGTGACCGAAAAAAGTTGAAAAATCCGAAATCGACCATTAATCCAATTAATCCATTATTAATCCATTAATCCAATTTTCTATAAATTTTGGCCATACCGGGCTTGTTTTATTCGGTACGATGTTAACTTTAAATTGGTATGATTTTTAACGGATTTATTTTAAACCTTTACGATAAATACATAAAAAAAATCTCTTTGTGTAGCAGCTTAGTGACAGCTAAAACCAAAAGCGAAATTCGGCTTAGCTAATTTCAGTGCCACCTTAGAGATCTTGAATTTAAGATTGTAGGAAGCTGATTTAAAGCAGTGCTACTTTCCTCAGTTTCGTCAATTTACATGGTAATTATCATAACTTCGTTATAACCGATGGACAGAGAAACAGCGCAGTCGTGAAACTGCGAGGTTTTAGCCTCGTCTTGTGTCTGTTTGCTGACTGGTGTGTCCGTCTTTGAAATTTTAATTAGTGGAAAGTGTTTGGTAGGCAACGGAACAGCAAAAAGTATTTCTTTCTTCCGAGTCATGTCGTCAACGCCGTCACAAGCGACATTGTTTCACCTCAAGTACACAAAAAAAATTTGCTTGGTAAAATTGACCAACAAAGGTAGTTACGTGACTATTAAAATAGTTACGTGTATTTTATTTTTGCTTTGGGTGTGTGTTTTTGCTAGTTGTGTGTATTTTGTTGTTGTGGAATAACTATTTATTTAGTAGAATTGAAAATTTTCCTGGTTGGGGCCTGTTTGACAATTATTACAGTTTGATTTTACCAAATTTCTTTGTGTGTACATATATATGTCGATTTTCATTGCAAATTAACCCCTTTTTCCCGTTTGTCCCCCTTTTCACGCAATTCCACACTATTCAAGGACCTTAAAGTTTCTTCACTAGATCACTAGGATATTTGGCGCAGCAACAATCGAAAATTTATTTTTTTTCAGATTGGACTTCTGGAAAAATGATCAATTACCACTTAAAAGATGATAAAGCATCAAAAACAAATAAAAACAGATCGTTCCTATTAACACACAAATCGTATTGTTGTGACATTAATTTTTATACCCTTGCAGAGGGTATTATGATTTCAGTCAGAAGTTTGCAACGCAGTGAAGGAGACGTTTCCGACCCCATAAAGTATATATATTCTTGATCAGCATCACTAGACGAGTCGATCTAGCCATGTCCGTCTGTCCGTCTGTCCGTCTTTCCATCTGTCCGTCTGTCCGTCTGTCTGTTTCTACGCAAACTAGTCTCTCAGTCTTTGAGCTATCGGGATGAAACTTTCCCAAAAGTCTTCTTTCTATTGCAGGTAGTATATATGTCGGAACCAACCGGATCGGACAACTATATCTTATAGCTCCCATAGGAAGGATCGGAAAAGAAAACGTTAAAAAAATTCTAGCTTCGGTGTTTTTTGAAATATTACCTTCTACTTTTGGGGATGTTATTTTTTAAATATTTCTGAATTTCGAATTAAATATTTAAAAAATCGGACTACTATATCATATAGCTGCCATAGGAACGATCGGTAAATTAATGGAAAAGTAATAGGAAATAAATTCTAGCTTCTTTGGTTTTTATTGTATTGTAATAGGAACGATCGGAAAATTAATGAGAAATATTAGAAAATTGAACATTTTTGCGATTTGTTAATTAATAGGAATGATCTGCAAGGGTATATAAGCTTCGGCTGGCCGAAGCTAGCTTCCTTTCTTGTTCTATCCTGCCCTATGGCAGCTATACAGGGGTGGTCAAAAGTATTTTCACAAATGTTAATGTTAACTGTACTTATATTTTGAACTTATAATATAAACTTTTGGCACCTATAGAAAGAGCACTTCAATTCCGTTTAAATGACACAAAAATTTTCTTAACCCATTAAGACCCCTTTGAAAAGTGAGCAAATTTTGCGAAATTCAAATTTTCAACTTTTTTCCTGGGGCTTAAGACAAAAATGTTTTGATGCAAAGTTGTTCCCCAATCAAAATTAATAATAACTGCAAAAAAAATGTTTCAAAATATTTTTCCTTGTATTTTTTATGATTTTTTGAATGGAGACCTCTCAGTACAATTTTGTATGAAAAGGAAGAAAAAGCGGCAAAAATAGCTATTTACAAAAAATCATAAAAAATACAAGGAAAAATATTTTGAAACATTTTTTTTTGCAGTTATTATTAATTTTGATTGGGGAACAACTTTGCATCAAAACATTTTTGTTTTAAGCCCCAGAAAAAAAGTTGAAAATTTGACTTTCGAAAAAAATTGTCTAATTTGCCCACTTTTCAAAGGGTGCTTAATGGGTTAAGAAAATTTATGTGTCATTTAAACGGAATTGAAGTGCTCTTTCCATAGGTGCCAAAATGTTTATATTATAAGTTCAAAATATGAGTACAGTTAACATTCAAATTTGTGAAAATACTTTTGACTAGGTTTGTATAATATAGTCATCCGATTTTTGTTAAATTCCGAAATTCGAAATTCCGAAATATTAAAAAAAACATATCCTAGAGTAGAAGAGAATACAATAAAAATCAACGGAGCTATAATTTGTTTCCGATTAGTTTTCCATTAATTTTTCGATCGTTCCTATGGCAGCATAGTCGTCCGATTTTGATCAAATTAAAATTGAAATTCGGAAATATATAAAAAGAGTCTTGTCCTAGAATAGAAGAGAATACAATAAAAACCAAAAAAGCTAAAATGTATTTCCTATTAATTTCCCATGAATTTTCCGATCGTTCCTATGGCTACTTTTCACGTTCTTACGGAAAAAATTCTATAAATTCCATTCGTTGACGTACAATGGTCTTATTTGTCTTAAAAATTCGGTGATAGACGCATCTAGATGCCTGTAAAATATTTTAGGACACATATTTTTCCTTGTATTTTTTGAGACTGTTCACCGCATCAAGTTGGTTGGGAATAGAGGTGAACAAATTACTATAATGGCTCATCGGCTTTGTTTGAATCAAATTACGATGGAACCCTAAATGCAATTATGTAAAAGGGCATCTAAGCAATTTTGGTATAGGTTTTATTATAATTGAGCACAGACCCTCGAAGATATCTTAAATCAAAACATTAAATGTACATAGCTATTTTTTTCAAACCGCGATTGCCCAAATACCACCCGTTAAACGCGAAAACTATGTATGCAGATATGCTTATATACGTCTATATTAACATATTTTAATGCCAATAGGCCTGCACCTTTTAATAAAATCCATTTTGTTGACCTGTGTAATGTAAGAAATAGTGTTGGTTTTACGATTCGATTGGCTCGGCAGACTGTTCATGAATTGCAAACCTGCAGTAATGGCGTTAGCCAAGACTTTTGAATAAAGTACTTACAGTTCTTTACAGACGTGTAACCCTCGGCCGCGCTGCCAGTGCTGCCACCATTCGTGCCCATCGCTGATCCATTGGCATGACCGTTAGATGCGCGCCCTAGGCTATTCAGGGTCGTAGTGCTGCCCGCCCGCGATCGCCAGCCAGCTTGGCCGGAAAGGGCTAGATGGTGGTTGCCACCTCCGAATCCGTTTCCAACTGCGTTGGCGAGGCCCACGCTAGTCAAGTCGGCGCTAGACTTGCTGCCGGAAGCGCTCTTCAGGGTGCCGTATACGCTACCTCCCGATCCACCCGTCTCCAACTGGCGAGCGTAAGAGTTGTCAGCGTAGGCGTGGAAACAGCACCTGACTAGCGCGTTCGCGGCCGCTTCCCGCTTGCAGATAAACACGTGGCACTCGAGCACCTTGATGCCGGTGGTGCGCCGCAAGATGGCAGCGAAGATGGGTGGGTGCTGGGCGCGCGGCATTCGCGCGAAGGGCGAGTCCAGCGGCAGAAACTTTGGCTCCGGATGGGCGTTCCCCCGCTCTGGGATGAGCACCTGACGCACGGCGGCGCAGTAGTGTAGCGACTCAATCGGGAAGAAGCGCGTGATCTGCTTAAGGTTTTCGTCCACATTCTCCAGTAGGATGCCGTTCGACCAGACGCTCAGCCAACTGTCGATGCCCTTGGCGCCCACCGCCCCTTCCGAAGGATAGAGGCTGCGCAGCGGCTCCTGGATTCCCTGCAGACCGTCCTTGCTTTGGCGCGGCACGGCGCTGCCCAGGTAGAGCACGCGGCACCGACAAATGGGCGTGGAGTCGCCCATTGTGGCTACGTAGCGGACTTACTAATACGCTGTGCTGTAGCTGTAGAGCGGCGTTCCAGTCGAGAGCACGACTGGAAGGGAAGAGGGGGGCGCAGAGCAGGTCGAAAAATGTGGACTTTCTGGTTTCGCTTTGTGTGCTGGCCACGTTCGTGTGCACAGGTATTTCTGTGGCTGTCGCTGTGTCTGTGCCCAGGTGCGTTCTTAGGCCGTTGCCAGAGCTTTTTTGCTTAGGTAAGCGGATATTTTTCGCCGCGCGCTTAGAGCCACTTGCACTCACACCAACGTTGAACGTTCGCGTTCTCAATCGGGTTCACACTCACACCAACACGGGCACACACATACTGGTTCATAGCGGGTTGACAGCATACAGAAACGCAGGCGGTGGAAATCGTCTTCCCCTTGCAAGCCTTGTTAAAATTCAAGTAAATCTCGGTGCGGACAGTCGTACCATTTATAGAATGCAAATGCTCCCGATGGTCTTTGCACTATCACACATCCGGACACTTAAACAAAGTAGTTGAAACACACACGGACGCTTAGAAAACAAATATGGCGTAGCGGGGTTCTGATCCCGATCCCGAAACTCCTTTTTCACTATCACTCTTCGCACGCACTGTGGAGCACTCCACTTCGTCCGGAAATGGATTAGCTTGACAGACCACTCAGTCGACTTGGCGGCGCCCGCTTCGGATTTAAGCTTGTCTACGCGACGACTCCTCCCTGGAAAATGAATCTGGCAAACTGCGTCTGAGCGACGTCTACTTGGACTTCGTTCGTGGGGAAAGAGTCTTCGGCTCGGCGATCGGAAAGTCGCTCTCAGTGCTCACTCACCTGCATACATGCTCTCCGGTATGTACACGACCAACTTAAGGCAGGTATGAGTGTGGATTCCGTTTCGGCTTTCTGGACCCTAGAGGGGAGTGGATAACTCTCTGCTACGTCATCCGTTTATGTAGGTATACATACATATGTACATCCCGGAGTGCCTAATCCGACAAAAGGTCAAGCAGATGTACATACACGCACATTTATATTTCTGAAACTTACATATGTACTGTTATAACTAGACATCGGATTTTAGGTAAAAACATATTTTAAACGAGCAGCCCAAAAATTATTTGGATTGCACACAAAATTGTTTTATGTAACGTAGATTATTTTGAACGCGGCATATTTTTGACAATTCGACCTTTTTACATATCTCCAACCTAAAAGCATATTTTGGAATATGCCAACCTTTTTGAACATCTTTACCTATTTTTATCGAAAATATATGCTCCCAAGCAGTGTTTAAAATGCTGCAGTCGAAGTAGCGAAAATCACATTATTTTTCATTTTTCTTGTTTCGACTGCCTGTAACTTTTTAATATGTGCTGTTGCTTTTGCTGCTGCTTCTAAAAAAGTCGGCAGTCACAGTCGAAGCAAAAGCAAAATCCGAGAACTTTATATACAGCTGCATAGCAGCAGCTAAAAATCAGAAAGCAACGACTTGCTACTGCTTCGACAGTCGGCAGTTCTCGGATTTTGCTTTTGTTTCGATCGTTCCTATGGCAGCTATATGATATAGTCGTCCGATTTTTATAATATTTTATTCGAAGCGCCGAAATATTAGATATAGTTGTGCCGAAAATATAGTTGTCCGATCCGGTCGGTTCCGACTTATATACTACCTGCAATAGAAAGAAGTTTCAAGCTGATAGCTTTAAAACTGAGAGACTAGTTTGCGTAGAAACGGACGGACAGACGGACATGGCTAGATCGACTCGTCTAGTGATGCTGATCAAGAATATATATACTTTATCGGGTCGGAAACGTCTCCTTCACTGCGTTGCAAACTTCTGACTGAAATCATAATACCCTCTGCAAGGGTATAAAAATGATGCTTTCAGACTATAGATGACCCAGCGATACCATTTTTTAAGTCCAAAAGTAGGATTTCGGCCAATGGGCAAGATTGAAATAATTCACTGGATTCAAAGTGGGCTCTCCGTTGAGGAATTCGCTATAAATTCTTTTCATTCCCCTATTACTTTTTTCCAAAGCATATACAATTCTGTGTATTACCTATTATTATTTTTGACAGTTAAGTAATACAAAAACGAACTAAAGAATTTACTTATTAAATTGGGATCTCTTTGCGGCTTTCATTTTTGTTATTAGTTTATGCAAAAAGAGACAGAGGGACAGGTGCATTTCGACTATTTAATCTTATCATTTAGATTTTCTGGTACTACATGGTTTTTTTTTTGACGTCATATTACTTCCACAGGACATAGAAGACATATATAGAACACTAAAAGCCATCTTAGGTCCTTAAAATGTCCTTGGGCATGACCTTGTCATAACTCACATTATAGGTATTGACTCGAAGATCAATCCTGTTTTTAGATTTTTGCAATATTCCCATTGGTTTAAAAGATATTTGCATTCAATTTTTATTTTAAATGTTTATAATAAAAATTGGAGAACAAGACTTATTTTCAATTTTTATAACAAAACTTGAAGAACAAGACTTATTTTCAATTTATATAATAACTAGCTATACCCGGAGCGACTTCGTTCGCTCAAAATTAGTTTGCAGCTAGGAAATTAGGTTGTCAGGACTTTCTTATATCTTATTTGCGCGTTTGTTGAAACCCTTTGCGTAAACATCCTTTCTAGAAGATTCTTCAAGAGAGAGAATCCGAAGGCTACTGATAGAGCTATATAATAAATGAATGCGATCTAAGTAAAAGTAGTAAATTTTTATACCTTCTATCAGTTACAATGTTATCAATGCAATATTAATTTGCTCGCAAATGTACACTTGTTTGTAAATTGGAATTTGTTGTTTTTCAATTTGTTGTTTTGAATGGAACGAAAACATTTGTACACACACGAAAAGATTGACATCCCATACAAAAGTAGCGAAGTAACTTATTATTTTGCGATTCCACATTTGATTGATAATTATTAATTTTAAACTCTGCCAATTTTGCATTGTCTGAAAGGAAATAAATCATTTTATTTGTATCTAAGCACATTATCTACTTTCGAATAGAAACTAGAGCCCTGCATGAATCATTCAATTTTTGTTTTATCATAGTATGCCATGAAATTTCTGATTTGTTTAATTCAATTCTATGTAAAATAAATTGAATGTTGTTCTAATTCATTTCAAATTGAATGAATCGAATGAAATATTTTATGAATTGTTTGAATTTTTCAGATTTTTTTTGTGTTTTCTTTTGAGAACAAAAAGTGGAAAATTTTTAACAAATCAATGTTAACTGCATAGTAAATAAAATTCAGGTAGATTTAATCACAAAATAATGGCCCTTTCTTCCTCAAAATAAATTGTCGTTTGAATTATTTCGGAATTCATGCCATTCATTCATTCAATTCTATTAAAGTCAAAATTCAAATTCATTCAATTCTATTAAACACAAAATTCTAATTAATTCATTCATATAACAGAAAAAAATTCAAAATAATTCATTGAATCCATTCATGCAGGGCTCTAATAGAAACATACACACACATTGTGTGTATGTACATTAGGGTGGACTTATTTTGTATAAAATTTCTAAGGCCATGCTCTCACCCCTTCATATATAGCCTTTTTATATCCTTAATCCATTAAAGAAAGAAAAAGTAAAAAATAATTAGTTTTAGGCGGTGCGCAACGGCTTTAAAGTTTATTACGCATATTTCAGATTCATCTAGATGCCGTAGACTTAATTTTATACTTTGACAGTATTTTAAAAAGTATCTTAATCACTTTCCCGAGCTTTTTAACAAGGGATGAAGTCGTTGATAAAATTCGAGTCCCTGGCAGACAATTACAACTTAAAAATAACAATAATAACGAATAATCAAGGACTTTTAGAGTACAACTTATAAATATTACGGTCTCTGAAAAATAAGAGTTTTCTTCTTTGACGAAAATTTTTATTGGCGAACGCAAAAGTGATAGTTAATCTTTAAAATTGTAAAATAGAATCTCTATTTCATTGTGAGTCACAAAAAAAAAATGGTGAGTCGGGGATCGAACTCGGTTCTTTTTGTTCGGAGACAGAAGCTCTACTGGCTAGGCTACGTCCAACTGTTAATAATCATGAAATACATTTCTACTTGACTTTTATTCGAGCGAAACCAAAACATATTTGGTCAAAAGTTCGAATCTTAAGATTAATATTTAACTTGGAAACATTTTGGCTTTGCTTATAGAATTTGTAGTAATTTTCTATTTTCTTCCTTGGTGAAAATTAAATAAGGTTCTTACTTCTGCTACAAAATGAAAAATAAAACCTAAGCATTTGATCCACAGGACTGACTATTGATCGAAAATCATTTTGATCGGAGTTTAAGTTTTTAAAATCCAAAACAAATTTAACTTAAATTGCCTCTTTCCCCTCCCCTTTCCCTGCAGCACTACCCCTCCCAATTTCTTGACTGTTGCTCTCTCGGCCGTCGCTCTCTTGGCATCCGCTCTCTGGGTTTCGCTCTCTCGGCAGGCTCCCACAAAATGCAACGCAATAACTTAGGAAATCTAAATAAATTCGTTAAAAATCCTCTAAAAAAATGTTAAAAACTTAAAAAATTAAACTTAAGCATCTGGGCCATAGAATAACCATTTACCAAAAAATCATCTCGATCGGAGCAGCGGTTTCGATTTTTTTAATCGAAAAGTTAATTTTAAATGTAGCCCCCAAATTATGGGGGATATCGAAATTTCTTTTAGATTTCTAATTAGGCCCTTTTAAGACCTAAAATTCTGCAAAATCAAAATTTCGAAATTCCAACCACTTTAGAAGCTAAGCTTAAGTAAATCTAATGACTTTTTGCTCTAAATATGGATATTGGAGCTGTTTGGGGCCACTGGGGGGACATGTCGGACCTTAGTGGGCGCCTACGCCCCCAATGGAATACTGTGAAATTTGGCTGCTCTAGCTCTTATGGTTTAGGCTGTGGTCGTATCCCCCTAAAAATCGGTCTTTCATTTTGTAATCTTTAGAGACAAGAGAGAACGCTATAGTCGAGTGCCTCGACTATTAGATACCCGTTACTCAGCTAAACAACTTAATAGAAATATGCCTTCTTATATGTTTTTCGCCGCTCGATTTTTACCCAGGGAACTCATTCTAGAAGAGGCTTTCTAAAACTTTCAATTCTGCCTAGCACAACTTCCGTCTCTCTCTAGCGCAGGTGAATGCACTTGTGAAAAACGTATACGAGCAAAAAAAAACAAAATGCGCGCCCCATTTCAAATAATTTAAAATTTGCATTAACATAATGTGAATTAGAGTGACCACAGAAAAAAAGGCAAATTTTTTCCAATGCCATTTCCTAGATGGCGCTAGTGTATATTGTATTGCGCCATCTACCGCCAGATAGTGGTACTACTGGTCATGAAAGGCAAAAATGTAGGCGCTGGCCAGGTTTAAGCGTTTATTGGATTTATGGGCGTTAGAGTGGGCGTAGCAATTTTTTACTTGGCCAATCGATAGGTATTGACGAAGCGAATACATATCAGTTACTTTTTTCATAATAGCTTCAAAGCTGTGGGCGTTAGAGGGGGCTTGTGGGCGTTAGAGGGGGCGTGGCACCTTTTTGAAACAAACTTGCGCTGCGTAGGAGCTCCTAGAATCTGCATGCAAAATGCCAATCTTCTAGCTTTTATAGATCTCGGAAACTAGTTGAAGGTTGAGATTTTCCACACATATTCTTGGGCCTCCTACGCAGCGCAAGTTTATTTCAACCG